AATTCCTTTTGCTTTAGTTACCTATTGTTTTGGGTCATTCGCCTATGATGTCAAATGCACCTTCTCGTGAGAAAGATTTCTTTAAAGCGACCTTCTCCAGTGGTGGGTTAAGTGATACCTTAAGGTTATAGCTCCTCTTAATTTTTGATGGCAATGACCAACAGTGATGTTGGTAGCGCACGCGTTATGAGAAAAATTGCATTATATAACTGTATATAAAAAACAATATTTTATCAGTTTGGGACAGATTGCAAATTTCGGGTTTTGGAGGACTGCAGATTATTTGGAAGCCACAAACTCTAACAAAGGCGCTATCCTCAGTTAAAACACCCATTTCAATTGTGTTTGTGAAATAAATAAATATTGTTTCAATGTGATTTACCTTGTGGCCAGTCTTTTTCTTTTCACAGCTCAGTGAGGGTCAGAAACCCGAAACGTATTCCCGAAAAACGTTTTCTGTAGAACCTCCTGTGGTTTTATGGATTCTACCCGAAAACTCTTAAGTGAAAGCAATGAACATAAGAACACCACATAACTAACTATGTCGAATAACGGTGTTGAATGAAATATATTCATTCAATGACACTGAATCCCCAGCTTTTAAAGGAGAGTCTTTACACATAAAGTCTGTAATACACCACTGCCGGGAAGTTGGAATAAAGATACTAAGGGGGGATGAAACTCACGAATTCCAAATAGAAATGTTTACTGGATGGAGTGTGATAATCTAAGCTAATTCAGTCACCTTCTTACACAAAACTCCAATATTGTGAAGAAACAAGAAGTCTGTTTGTTTGTTTGGAATTAAGCACAAAGCTACACAATGGGCTATCTGTGCTCTGTCCACCACGAGTATCGAAACCAGGTTTCCAGCATTGTAAGTCCGCAGACATACCGCTGTGCCACTGGGGGCGAAACAAGAAGTCACTGGATGTGATAACATGGAATATTATACATTCAAAATCAGATACTCACGATTCATGTGCATGCTGTAATCTTTTCTGAAATCAATTCATACACCTAACATCAAGTTCATCTCCCAGGACATTAGTAATAGTTTATTGGTTTATTTGTTGGATTTTTGTGCATATCTACTCAAGGACTATCAGTGCTGGCTATCCCCAATTTTGAAGTGATAGGCTAGAAGAAAAGTAGTTATTGTAAACCACTGACCATAGACTCTTGTGCCACTATAATCAAATGGTCACAAAGTGTGGAGCGCGAGTTTTCTTTTCGGTAGTAATGAAGTTCAAACTATGGAACCTCAGATTCATAGTTAAGCATGCTAACTGGTAAGTCACGCATGGTAATAGCAAGAGTTCAGAACATGTACTATTGACAATTATTTCAATGGTGTTCGATTTCCTAGAAGGGATTTAACCAGCAAGCCACACAGCATAGCTTTTAATACAAGACATAAGCCCTTTTGGCGCTTTAAGCAGGAAGACAGGGGTGAAAAAAAATAGTTAGGTACTGCAATAACTTTTTGTATCCATTTTTTGCTTTGGATGGGATTTGAGTATGATGGGAATACTTGGAAATGTCATTCCAACTCTGAAGAGGATTGAAGATTAACATTATTATGTGGGCCTATTTAAGCAGGCTTGGCCTTGATCCACTGGGTTGAAGATGACTATGTTATTCCATCTGTGAAAAGTGTTGGAGACTCATATCGTGATGTGGGCTTGTTTAAGCAAGTTTGGCCTTGATCCAATGGGTTGAAGACGACTATTTTATTCAATTTGTGAAAAGTGTTGGAGATTTGTGTCATGACGTGAGTTGTTTAAGCAAGTTTGGACATGTTCACTGGGTTGAAGATGACTATGTCGTTCCATCCGCAAAGAGTGTTGGAGGTTCGTATAATGACATGGGCTGTAAAAGCCAGTTTGGACTTGATCCACTGAGCTGGAGATGACTACATCATTCCATCCATGCATAGTGTTGAAGATGACTGTTATTCCATCTATGAAGAGTTTTGGAGATTCATATCGTGATGTGGGCCTGTTTAAGCCAGTTTGGACTTGATCCACTGGGCTGGAGATGACTACATCATTCCTTCTGTGAAAATCATTGGGGATCCATATCAAGGTAATCAGAAGATTAAAAGAGTTCAGGGTGAGAAAATTAAGATATATATTTTGTGAGAATTTGATAGACAAACACACATATATTATAAATATATATGTTTTCGTTATGGTGCCAAGAATAGTAGAAAATATCAACAGACAATATGTTGGAGTTCCAAAAAAATGAATGTTTTTTAAATATTAAGTTGATTTATGAAAATTATAGTACGTAGGTAAACTATATGTTTTCTATCGCATTCATTTAATAAGTTCAAATCTTAAAGTTCATCTAAAATATTCATGTATAGAAGTATATGTAGAGTTAAAAGTAGTACGTTGGTCAAAGAAGTGGCTAAGTTATTTTCGCTCTAGTTACCTATTTTTCTGGTCATTCAACCATATGGTATCACATTAACTTTCTCATAAGAAAACTTGTTATAAAATGGAACATACTAAGTAAAGGTGGACAGTGAATTTTTCCATTGGTTTATCATGTGATAGCTTGAGACTACATCCTCCCTTAGTGCTCGACTGGAATGATCAACAGTGATTTCATAAAGCATATGCTCTGAGAACAATTGATTGCAGAAATATGTGTGAGAGTCTTTTGCTTAACATAAAACATCACACCTTATTTTCATTTTGCCATAAAGATAATAAGTTTACAATTGTGTAATGTTGTTCCAAATGTCTTGTACGTTATTCACCACAAGTCAGCCAAGTTCTTATTGGGACATTCAGCCAAGTTCTTTGGTTGCCTTTTGATCCATAAATGTTCTTAGTGGGACTTTGTTCAGGCCAAGTCATGGTTACGAGTGTTCCATCGAACCTTTACTGTCAGAATATCTTTTTTCCACATTTGTTGAATGCTTGAAGACGCTGTCTTGCTGGCAAATGAACACTCGCGTAACATACTGTATTTCTAAGGGTTTGACATGATGGATCTAAACCTTCCTGTACTTGTCAGCAGTCAGGGTGCCATCCACTTCGTATATATCGCCAACACTGTTGGTTGAGATACAGCTCCATACTTGTACTGTATAGATGTTGTATATTGACTATTATATGTGGACCACAAGTAATATCAATATACAACACCCACTTGTACATATGAACCACAAGTAATAGCAATATACAACACCCACTTGTACATATGAACCACAAGTAATAGCAATATACAACACCCACTTGTACATATGAACCACAAGTAATAGCAATATACAACACCCACTTGTACATATGAACCACAAGTAATATCAATATACAACACTCTCTTGTATATATGGACTACAAGTAATATCAACATATAACACCCGCTTGTATATATGAACTACAAGTAATATCAACATATAACACCCGCTTGTATATATGAACTACAAGTAATATCAACATACAACACCCGCTTGTATATATGGATTACAAGTAATATCAACATATAACATCCGCTTGTATATATGGACTACAAGTAATATCAACATACAACACCCTCTTATATATATATCACAAAGCAATACCCGTATTTAAATATTTGTTTCAATGACTTATCAATACATACATTGTTTGAAGTACAGCTAAGTTTTAAAAATAATACATCTAAAAGTAAACGACTTTACTTTGCTTGAAGTTGGGGTAAGTTTTATAAATTATTTATTTGTTTGTTTCTTTATTGAATTTCGTGCCAAGCTACAATAGGATTATCTACGCTAGCTTTTTCTCTAATTTACAACTGATAGATTAGAAGGAATGAGGATGGTTAACACCACCCGCTCTTGAGCTATTCTAATCAAATAGTGGGATTGACCATTATAATATAACACCTATCACGGTTGAAAGGGCGCAAACTCAGTGATGGGATCGTAAACACGGCCATTCCAGGCCAGTTTTACAAATAACACGTCAAAACCTCAATAAATTCGTGATGCTCTAGGTAACCACAAAACCTCAACAAATTCATGGTGCTCTAGGTAACACCATAACCTCAACAAATTCGTGGTGCTATAGGTAACCACAAAACCTCAACAAATTCATGGTGCTCTAGGTAAAACGAAAACCTCAACAAATTCGTGGTGCTCTAGGTAACACCATAACCTCAACAAATTCGAGGTGCTCTAGGTAACCACAAAACCTCAACAAATTCGTGGTGCTCTAGGTAACACCAAAACCTCAACAAATTCGTGGTGCTCTAGGTAAAACGAAAACCTCAACAAATTCGTGGTGCTCTAGGTAACCACAAAATCTCAACAAATTCATGGTGCTCTAGGTAACACCATAACCTCAACAAATTCGTGGTGCTCTAGGTAACCACAAAAAACTCAACATGTAAGTTGATGAGACAAGAACGATGTTCGTAGCTCTTTGTATTTTGTTTTGTTGTTTTCACTCGCTAGAGGGACAACTAAGTTTCAGCAATGAATTTCTTCCTCTCAATGACTTTTAGGTGCTTAAAAGACTTAATTAAAAACACTCACCAACTGTTTTAAATTATACATAGAGAGGAAGAGGGTGATAATTAGCCAAGAACATTTATTCTGAATTAAAAGTAATGGGAATAGACTATGAAATACACGTTAAGAAGCGATAGATTACCTAATCTTGAAGAACACACATATAAGAAGTTGCTTAAGAATTTTTTTTACCTCAGAATTAACGAAAATCCGAACACTTTCACAAAAATTTTAATCAGACGTACTCTGTCACAAAAAGCCACAAGTAAACACTAGAATTATCAGCTAAAACATTTGTCCCTGAACATTAGAAGCATACAAAGCAACAGAAAAGCTGTGTGCTTTAAGAAGAGATCCTCGGTTTTGGTCTTATTCCTGAAATGTTGGAATGTACAGAACTAGTCTAAACATTTAAGAGAAGAACTGAAAGTTTAGGTTTCAAGTTGTTTAGTCCAGAGATACCTATCGGAAAGCGAACGTTTTCACTTACCTGATTTTCCAACACCAGGGTTTCCTAGGAGTACAAGACGACTATCTGCAGGTTTTGTCATCTTTTGATGTGGCCCTAGATGTCCGTTGTTAACAACCCGAAAAAAATCCTTAACAAATCCGTTGGAGCTGGAAGCTTCTCGAGCTACACTCGAATCTTGACACGCGGGGCTTGAGCCGACAGCGTGGCGGCCAATGCGTGACATCACTCGTTCCTGCCACCTCCACGTTATCTGTAAAGTCACCACGTGTACCGTCCTTGCTGTGCAGGGTCTTAAGATACATTCATTTTAATAAACTAAGTGGATCGGGTGGGGGGGGGGGTAGTAGTTTACTTCTAAGACATCTATGTCTGGCTGAAATAATTTCTTTGGTGGATGGATGGATGCTGTTCAAGTCTTCTAAGAGGGACGCGTTTTCTGATAAACATTCAATCGAGCAGTGCTCTTTAACCCTATTTCTACAATACCACGTGTCTTTCAGTTAAGATACTTCACCAAAGAAACAAAACCTCGCGAGGAAAAGCCAAACACATTACGCACACCCTAGACGGCCGACGAGCTTTACTTATTTATTTTCATCACCGCTAGGCGTCGTAACATTGCCGGTAAAGAGACATAGGAGAAGGATGTATGTAAAAATGCAACAGGTAATTGACCCCTCGTTTTGGATAGAAAACGTCATGTGTATATTTTATCGTTTCGTGTATTCAATGGAAACAGTTTGTTACTTTACACTAATTTATAAACTAACTAGCAAAATTTCAGGCGTGCTTTCAACAGACTACACTTTCTAATAAATAAAGTGTCAATGGATTCCTTCAAGAATAAATCTTGTTTTAAACTGTTTAAAAAAACTTTGCAAGAGATTGACGATTTTCATAACCAGGTCTAAAAGTATGGCCTGGTGGATAGGGCTCTCGATTCGCAATTTAAGGGTTAGAATCCCCGTCGTTAAATAAGCTCGCCCTTTCAATCAACACTGGGCATTATAATGTGATGGCCAATTCCACTATTCGTTAGTAAAGAGTAGCCCAAGAGTTGGCGGTGGATGTTGTTAACTACATGCCTTCCCTCTAGTCTATCCCTTCAAAATTAGGGACGACTGGCGCAGCTAACCCTTGTGTAGTTTTGCGCGAAAGTTAAAACAATCTGAAATGCCCCGGCATGGCCAGGTGGTTAGGGCGCTCGACTCGCAATCTGAGGGTCGCGGGTTCGAATCCCCGCCCCACCAAGCATTCTCGCCCTTTCAGCCGTGGGGGCGTTATAATGTGACAGTCAATCCCACTATTCGTTGGTAAATGAGTAGCCCAAGAGTTGGCGGTTGGTGGTGATGACTAGCTGCCTTCCCTCTAGTCTTACACTGCTAAATTAGGGACGGCTAGCGCAGATAGCCCTCGTGTAGCTTTGCGCGAAATTCCAAACAAACAAACAAACTGAAACTAAACTAAACAATTTTCGCTGATGAAATCATTTCTCAGTATATAAAGGTTTATTTCGTTTCGTGAGGAAGCAATTATTTCTAAAACGTTTCGATAGTAGGATCTTCTGGGTTATCTTAACGTGAGACTTAGCGTTCACCAACTAGAAGCATCTTAAGCACTAGAAAGATCCCAAATTTCAAGTGATCCTTGACGAAAATAGAAGCATTAAATCGGCTTACTTATAATCTGTTTTCATTTAAAATTATTTCCAGAAACCACTATTCCAAAAACAGCCTGTAAAACAATCTTCATCTGAAACTTGAGTTACCACGTAAGTGGCTCAAGGTTAAGCACTTGTTAATTGGCACTTCATAACCTTATATTGCACAGAGCTCTCAGCACTACGAACCTGTAACTGTCTGGTACATGATAAGCAGCTTTGTAGAGTTGTTTGTTGTTAAACGTAAAGCTACACAATGGACCATCTGTGCTCTGCCCACCACGGGTATCGAAACCTAATTTTTAGAGTCGCAAGCCTGTAGACTTACCCCTGAGCCAATGGGGAGTCAAATCCCTAGAAATTGCTATGTATATATGGAGAACATTAAAACAAAATTGGTTATAAAGTTTTCGAAGTATATTTTTCCGACAGAAACACAAACAGTTTAAAGATGATAGGAATTTGTATTTTTACAATATGACATGACAAAAATATAACTTTGAAAATAACATTAATCATACCACTCAATTTAATGTTTTTCTGTTGTATCTTTGAAGTGAATCACTAAGATTAGTCTTACAAATTGTTCAACCTTCTGTAGACAGATCTGAAAGAAGACATTTTGGACATCATTTCACTAATATGGAGAGTAATCGTACGCGTTGAAATCAGCCAATCATAGTAAACGGTTGTGAATTGGATACAATTGAATTCAGCCAATCACAGTAGGAGCTGTGAATTGGCTACAATTTCTTATATAATGTTACAGTAGCTCTAAATCATAGACGAAGAAGAAGAAGCAGATGACCCCTATAGTAAAGTACCTGCTCCGAGACTGAATCCGATGTTCTCAGTTGCACCTAGATGCCACGTCAGTGTACTTTCAAACAGGAACGTAACGTATATAGCAGTGGTGAAATATGGTGTTAGCATAAATATTGCCGAACTCTACAGCTTATAGAATTTTACCATTAATACCACACATTACGAAAATCACATACTACGACCCTTTGCATCGTTTTATGCTGTTGCAATTGACCAATTATTTACATTTAGTACTGCAGATTGTCTGACCAATCATTTACATTTAATACTGTAGACTGTCTGACCAATCATTTACACTTAGCACTCTAGATTGTCCGACCAATAATTTACAGTTAGGACTGTAGACTGACCAGTCATTTACATTTGGCACTGTAGGTTGTCTGACCAATCATTTACAATTAGGACTGTACAATGTTTGACCAATCATTTACATTTTAAGTCATATTATTGATAATAAGATACTTGGTTTGTCATAGCTAAAACATGAAAAATTTCAATTAAATTTTACTTGTTTTGTGCACCATAAAGTCAAGACAAGGATATCGTACAATCAGTTTTTTTTTCTTTTGAGTGGTGTTGGTGTGTGTTAATTTATTATTCAAAACTGGGTTAATTATGTAAGTTCCTACGTTCGAGAAAAGTAACAAATTTCCTCGTGTGTGTGTGTGTGTAATTCCTGACTTTAAGTTTAACACCTTCGGTAACAAGAGAGATATTTCGGGTTGCCATGTTAGGCCTGGCTGACACGTATATATCAAGAAATAGATGGTTGTAGAAATAATGAAAATAGTCTCAATTTGTGTGTCTCCTCCAAGGAGACAATGTTTAGCTAATTGAAATGAAACAAACAGGTAAAAAAGCCAATGGTTGCATATAAAGAATACAAATCTTAAATTTGATCATAGCACTGCAGTTAGAATCCGATCATGAAACTAATAATTTTTTGTGTAACCATGAATCCAAGAATTCACATTCCGGAAAAGCTAACTACTAGGCCACTCCTACTCTATTTTATGGTTATAACGTGATAGTGTTTTATGTTAATACATTTGTAAAATGTATACATACCACTCTTTAAATGGTGCATACGACTCAAGTAATTATTTGTCAAGGTCAAAGTGTAATTCTAAGAACCCATGGGTGAAAGCAAAGGAAAATACAACTACACTACATCTGTTATATCCAGTGCCGACGAGGCCTATCGCCTAATACCAAGGTTCATCAAGCCGGCTGGGATACAACTTACATAGCACTGGTCTAGGTGTTTGTTTGTTTTTTTAATTATGCACAAAGCTACACAAGGGCTATCTGTGCTCTGCGCACCACGGGTATCGAAACCCGGTTTCTAGCGTTGTAAGTCCGCAGACATACCGCTGTGCCACTGGAGGGGGGGCGATCAGTTTGCACGAATAACTGTTAGGTCGTGAATTAGATAACGAAAGTGAATTATTATAAATTATATTAAAATCATTTACAAATCAAATGTATTATTTATGGTAAGAATTTATTACCTAATGCTTTTGTTAAACAAATATATTTAAATGTAACAAATTGAATATTAACTATTTCTTCAACTTTTACTGTGCTAAATACAGGTATATCTCCTGACCTGATGATGTATCATAAATCATAGCTAGCAGAAGACACTGAGTACCACTAATTAGGCCGCGATCACAGCCTGTTATCATTGGTCAATTTTAACATTTTATGTAACTAAAGGATAGTATTAACTCTAGAAATTAGTATATTTGTTACTTACAGAGGGCAAATTACTGAATAACTTGTTAAGTACCATAAAATAGACATATATGCGGTTTAACTCTATAAGTTATTACCAAAAGGGTAAAAGTATGACATTATAAGTACATTCATGGGTAGTAGCTTAGTAGCTTTCGAGATCTGAAACTATCTCAAGTGAATATTGTGGCGCCATCTAGAGGGACTTATCTGATTCTTAAATTACGAACTATATTCTTTTTGGTAATGATAAAAAAGGGTGAAATATGGTAAACATATATAACATTCGTTCATTATTTTGAGTGATGTTTGTTTTAGTTGGGTTGCAGTATTTATAACGGTACAAATTGAGTTTCGATACCCGTAGTGGACAGAGTGCGTATATCTCATTGCGTAGCTTTGTGCTTAATAACAAACTAACAAACACAGTGATTAACAACCAAGGTTAGAAATCAAAGCAGCAGTAACTGAACGTTTGTTACGGAATCTAATATTCATAAGTGTTTGATCTGGAATGTATATGGCTAAATAGGAGGCTCTTTTCAAGCTGAAATCCACGCCAGCTTTAATGATATATACGGTTTAAGTGGGGTGTGAATGTTGTTCTAATTTTGATGGCCTAGATTATTCGGAAGGTTTATGTTTTTAATATACTTGGCTCAAGATGGTAGTTAGAATATGTAAA